TTTAAATGAAAAATTTTGATAAATTTTCTATTTTCATTTAATCTTTAATAGTTTAAAATTCTTATATTTCTGTATTTTTCTTTTTTAATTTATATATTTTTTAATATTTTTGTATTTTTTTTTTATTCTGCACATTTCCATCACAATGAACAAATCATTTGAAAAAAAAAAGCTACAAAAAAAATTGCTGTTTAAAAGCTTTCATTACTTTTTTTAATTAAAGTTTCTAAAAAGAAAATTGATCGCCTCAAAATGACATATGAGGCGACAAAAAGAAATGGATAATATGATCCTCGTAAAGTATTTGAAAATTTCACTTTTAAATTATCAAATTTCTTCAACGAAGGCCAAACGAATGCTGTAAAGAAAAGGAAAGATGTCGTCTGCTTTCTGTGATGGCAAAAGTCATTTAAGATAATTTCAACGAAAAGTAAATTCTCACGAAGGAAAAGAAAAGAAAAGAAAAGCATTTCCTTTCGATGACACTTCAAAAGGAAGTATTCATCATTGCTTTATAATGAATGCATAATTAAGATATTAGAAGAGGAAATTTATTATTAAGAGGTATAAAATGCTTTAAAATCATTTTAACTAATTTTTAAAGTCAAAAAAGAAAGAGAAAGCATTTCATTCTTTTCTATTCTCTCTAAAATTAATCGAAACAATTTGCAAAATAAAAACAAAAAAAAAAAAAAGTTACAAGTTGTTTTAATTTTTGAATATTTCAATCTAAAATGAATGTAATGATAAATTAGTTAACATACAAACATTTAAAACATTAATTCATTAATAATTTCAATCACAAAATCAAATGAATATTTTCAAGTATTATAATTGATAACGTCGATCACTTTTTGACAATACTGCTAAACTTTTTTAATCTTTCAAAATATATGCAAAATAGCAATGCTTAATAAAGTTTCCAGTTAAAGAATAGCTGTAAAATTATCATTGATATCATCGTTGTCATTTGCCATATCAGTTTTGATAATTTGTAATGATAATTTTTCTTTTTCATTAATATTTCACAAAATCATTTCTATTTTTACTATCATTTTGTGCAATATCAATAACTATAAGCTTTTCAGAGATTATTACAAAAGATTTTAAAAGAATTACCGATAATAATTGTATGTATATCTCTGATAAGCATAAGTTAATGATGTGATATTTACTGATAACAATTGTATGTGTTAAAAAAAATCACAAAATTGTTTATCATCAACGAATGAAACTTTAAAGTCTAATTTTTAAGCTAATAATGTGACATTTTTTTTTTTTTTATTTTTATTTTCCTTTTATTCAACAAGTCAGAAACATTTCAAATAGTCATTAATTCATTGACTCAAAAACTCTTGTCTCATCCAAACATCACTATACCAATCCATTAATGGCTTCAATCTTTTCCATATTGTCCTTTTACAGCAACAAAAAAAGAAATAAAGGAGAGAGAGAGAGAGAGAGAGAGGGAAAGAGAAAGGGAAAGAGAAATTTAATAAGAGCAAAATTATACTGAATTAATGTTTGTCTCGGTCTTTCGTCTCTTGTCACCTATCCAATCTACCATTGTTTAGCTGAGTTTAAGTCTCTTATCATTATAGTTTCCTTTTTCCTTTTTTTTTTTTTAAAAAATTTTATAATATTATTTAAAAACAAATATATTTTATATATTTCTACTTACATCTATACTATTTATATATGATAAAGCTTAAAATTTTTCATTTTTTTTTTTTTTTTTGAAATTAAATATTATAAAATTTAAAATTTTCTCATTGTATTAAATAGAAAAGAAAAAATTTTTTAACTAATTATTATTATTTATTGTGATTAATTTAGATTAACTGACATGTATTTTTTGCAATTTTTCTCATTTTTTTATTAATTTAAATTATCAAATTTTTAATTCGAAATGATGAAAAAATTTTTCAACAAAAACATTTAACTTAGATAATGTTAGACTGTTTGATATATTCTTTCGTGTTTATATCAACATGTATGTTGACACTGTTTAACATAATGCTTATTCGTTTGATGTAGCGCCCTGTCACATCAACAAAAGTGGTTAAATTGGCAGTCTTAGTTGTCTGTCGCCTTTCTTCAAAGCCAATAATGCTAAAAACGATAAATGTTAGTTTAAGTCCTCTTCCGCTCATGAGAATTCCCTACCACATTCTTTAATTAACTTTACCCTCTAAAGAATAAACTCTTCGTTTTATTCTCGAACTTCAATAGTTAGCAACAATCTTTACATAATATATTATATTTGAGTTTCATTCTTTGCATAAATAAAATGCTATAACAAAAAAAAAAAAAAGACATACTTTTAAAAAAATTTAAGCAAATTAAAAAAGAAGAAAAAATTTTTTCCATCAAGCTATTATAAAGATTATATTATTAAATTACTTCTCGTCAAATGCTAATCATTTAGCTAATAAAAATGCTTTCTACTACAAAATTTAATATACAATTAGATAGATAAATTATTCATTTTTTTTTTTCAGCCATATTATGAACAAATGAAAGAAGAAAAAAACATTATGAAATTATTCTATTGAAATTACTAAATATCTCAATGATTAAAACTAATGAAATATTTAAATATTTGTCAAGAGTGGATCAACGATGATAGCAGGACGTTTACGTAGCAGTTTACGTAATGATACAGTACAACAAGCTGGTCAGTAATATCATTTCTTTTTTTTTTTTTGATTATTTAATTTTTTTTTTTATATCACAGCAACTGTCTTAGTGTAATATTTTCTTTTTTTTTTTTTAAAAAAAAAGGGAAAGAAAAAGGTGAAAATGAAGAGAGCACCAAAATATCATCATCATACATCTATTTGATTTATGCCTTTTCAAATAAATTTCATTGAAAATATCATTTAGCTAACTCTTAACATTTAATCTTTTTTTTTTTAACGAATCAATGTGTTTTCATTGCAAAAATTTTTCACTTTAAAAAATTATAATTGTTCAAAAAAAAAAAAAAGAAGAAAAGTCTTATTATTGTATAACTTAGTAGGCTTGTGAAAAATATTTTAAAAAATTAATCAATTGTAAACTTTCAAAGTTCATATAATATAGGAAAATTTATTCAAATTATGAATAGCTAGGTATTAAACTGATTTTATTTTATCATTTAATGTTAATCTGCTCAAATAAAGTTTAAAGTTAATAAGCTAGAATGAATTTCACACTAACCACTATCTATGTTATTATATTTCATGAAGAATGCAAACATTTCGGTATAAATAAACAACAAATTTTTAATAAAATTTTAACTATATTATCCAGTCATAACTTTCCTTTCATATTTTAATTTTATATATTACAAATTTTAAATCTATTTACTTTACTTTTATATTTTACTTTTATTCCAGTTTAATAAAAAAGCTTCTCCTAATAAGAACAATTATATTATGCTATTTTTGATTGTTTTTTCACATGCAAACAAAATTCATTCTATCTGCATTTGTTCGTTTCAAAAAAAAAAAAGAAAAAAAATGCATTTAAAAATTTTTTTCTTTTCAGTTAAGTTTAGTTGAGTAAAATTTCAAAAAAAATTTCAAAAAAAAAAATTTAGTATTCAGGTTAAAAGTTCTAAGTGCAATCGATTATTATCAAATTAGCAAATCAGAGTTGAAAGAAAATTTTTTTGTGAAATGTTAAAACGACTAGCACTGAATTTAATAGATTTGAAAGTACAAAAGAAGTTCAACTAACTACTAAATCTACAAACATTAACTAACACTCAACAAAAATGTTGTAAAATGTATGCGAATATAAAATTAATTTACTATTTTAGCATATAAAATGTTAACAATATATTTATAAACAATATTATTATTAATTAATTTTGTTAAAACTTAAATTTTATCATTTATTATAAAAGAATAATTATGCAATGATTATTAATTAAATCAAAAATTGTTATTCAAATTCATTTTTCTCTTTTACATTTTGATTCTTTAATTTAGTATAATATTACAATTTTGTTTCACAAATTTATTTCACATCAATTTTTGAATATTAATTAATTCACATGCAATTGTATCTTACCTATCTTTATGCATACTTTTTAAATTTTTAAAATAACGAATTGCATTTGGTTATAAGTTTTTTTTTTTTTCTATTTTTTCACTGCACAAATTGTTTAGCAATGAATTAATTGTATCTTTAATTTCTGAATGCTTAACAAATCTATTATTATAATGATTATTATTACTTTTGCATGCATGTTTCATTGCAATTAAACTGACTTAAGTCAGAGTTATAAGAAATCTCTCTCAAACATTTCAATGAATTATTATAAATATAAAAAGTAAAAAAAAAAATTGATATGCTTAATCTGTATTATCATTTATATTTTTATTTGTACTTTTACTTTGTCACTTCTTTATTACAGGTAAAAACATATCGTGTACACCAAATATTTTTTTGTATTATTTAAATTTTAAAGAAACTATTTATAAAATAAAATATCATCGATTCATATTTATTTTTTAGAATTGATTTAAAATAATTTTTAGTGTCCAGTGAATCTGGTGCAATTTATTTAATACCCAGAGAAAAGCATCGAAATACTAACAATAATAAAAATGAAAATAAACGTCTATCACGTGAACGTCATCGTCCAGTTGCTGATCGAAACAATGAATTTAATTGGATTAATGAGAAAAAGATTGTAAAGTATGTCTTTTTTTTTAGTTGTTTATAGTAAAAAAAAAAATAAATAAATAAAATTTTTTATTTAAATTTTGAATTAATTTGTAAATATTTCATTTTCAGCAAAAAAAACTGCAATAAAGTAACAAAATATTTCATTAAAAATTACATATTCAAATTTTATTATATTGCAAATGTATTCTTTAAAACAGTAAAATATTTCAGTATTTATACTTTAAGTATTTTTTTTTCTTAAATAACTAAATAAAGTGTAAACAATAACATTTCTCATAAATGTCAAATAATGAGAAAAAAAAAATTTTAGTGACACCAAAATGGATATGCAAATGTCATTGGTTGAAACTGCAAATACCTACGATTTTCACTTACTTCTAAATATTGGTGGTACACATTTTCGTATTCGTTACTCAACTATACAGGTATTTTATATATGTAAATAAAAAATTTATAAAAAAGTTAAGTTTATTTTAAAGTTTAATTCCATTGATTTATTCATAATATATACTTTTATACCAATTTTTTTTACTAAAAAAAAAAAGAGGAAATTAATTAATTTATTAATTGCAGTATCGTTGTCCAACATCATTATTAGCTGAATTTTGTCGTGAAACGCATGCAGCACGGGTTGAAAGTTGCAATGGTTATTTATCTGATACACGAGAATATTTCTTTGAACGTTCGGGAAAATTATTTGAGCCAATTTATGATTTTCTAACAACTGGACATTTTCATCGAACCAGTGATATCTGTTGTGAACGACTTTTTAAAGAATTAGATTTTTGGCGAATTAAAAAGTTTGTCCTTTTCTTCGTTTTTTCTTTTTTATCTAACTCATCAAAGATTTTTTTTAAAAAAAAAAAAAAAAAACATATTAATAGCATAAATTTTTTTTCTTTTAATCAAAATTTGATAATTTATTTTTTGATAATGTTTTTGACTAAAATTTGATAATTTATTTTTTGATTAAAATTTGATAACTTATTTTTTGATAATGTTTTTGATTAAAATTTGATAATTTATTTTTTGATAATGTTTTTGATTAAAATTTGATAATTTATTTTTTGATAATGTTTTTGATTAAAATTTGATAATTTATTTTTTGATAATGTTTTTGATTAAAATTTGATAATTTATTTTTTGATAATGTTTTTGATTAAAATTTGATAATTTATTTTTTGATAATGTTTTTGATTAAAATTTGATAATTTATTTTTTGATAATGTTTTTGATTAATATCTGATAAATCATTCTTTGATAATGCTTTTGATTAAAATTTGATAATTTATTTTTTGACAACATTTGCTAATTTTTCTTTTTCCTCTTTTTTTTCTTCAACATTTAACACTTTTTAATGATTATTAGCTAAAAATGATTTAGAATTGAGATTTCATTCGAAATTGCAAATATATATTGTACATATGCATTACTCAAATATTAGCAATGATTTAAATGATTGATCGGTGTGTTTGTTGAAAATCGAACAATTTTGAATTATTTTAATTAGAAAATATATTTCTTCGTTATTTTTAAAATTTATTTTCAAATGGCATATAAATAGAGAGCGCCACAGAAATCATTTCAATTAAAAATTCAATTTTTTAAAAAAAAATTTTTTTCGCTTAGCTTTTTTTTATAAATTTAAAAATGACAGAAAGCCCTTTGGCTTAAATTTTATGTTTTAGTGCAAAAATATATGCGAAAGCAATGTGATGAGTGTATAAGAGGTGCAAAAAAGGAAAAAAAAAAGTAGGCAATAAAGCTCATCGATGAAGGAAATAAATTTAAGTTTTATAGCGCAAATCTTCTTAGAAGCTTAAATTTCGAAGATATAAATATCGAATCTAATGTAGTTAAGTGATAAGAGTAATATCAATCAATAAGAGTAGCAAGTACAACGAATACTTTTTAGACATTGGTAATAATGCTAGAATTTTACTAAATTCATAGTATCTTATCAGTGCTATAAATCCTAAGTGATAATGATAAAGTAATTATCATTTTCATTTATCAAATAATGGAACATTTCAGGGATTTTTTCGCTCCATGCTGTATGATGATTGCTGATAGTGACGATGATGAATTAGCAAACGAAGGCAAAGATTCTGTTACTTATGGTTTGTTTATTCAGGGTCAAAGGTCTTTTCCTGAAAAGAAAAGAAGAAAGAAGAAAGGAGCTTTTACTCTAAAATATCAAAATGATGTGATATATTTTTTGAATTTGAAAAGAAGCAATATTATCTAAAATAAAACTTTCAAATATTTTGACATATTAATTACAAATATTAACTGAGTTTCTCAATGATTTTAAAATTAACTATTTAAATTGTTCTACTCTCAAAGTGTATGCAAATTTTATAAATGTTAATTTTGAACTTTTGTAAAAATTTGCAACAGCTAATATGAAATTTCATTGATTTCTCGTCACTTTAAAGATGATGAATTTGATGGTGTTTGCTTTGATGATCAACGGCGCAAATTGTGGCTTTTAATGGAAGATCCTGGTACAAGTACCGCAGCTAAGGTTAAATTTTTCTAATTTTATTCCACATTGTGATTGTTTGAAAAGTTTGTGAAATTTCTTCAAATTTTATTTTTCATTTCATTTTAATCTTTTAAGACTTTAATTTACTTTTAATGCTAAAAATTTTTATACTAAAAAATTTCAAATTTCTTCGTTCGTTCGTTTTTTTTTTAAAAAAGGCAAAATAAAAATTTCCATACAATTTTTAGTTTTCTGTTAACTTTTCAATAATTTATAATATATTGCAAATACAATTTTATTAAGCATTTCATATTTTAAAATAATTAAAAATAAAATAAAAGTAAGAAAGAGAAAGAGGGAGAGAGGAGAGAGAGAGAGAGACAGAGAAGGAAAGAGATTTGATGTGACATATTATTATTGCAGATTTTTGCGCTTGTAAGTATAATGATGGTGATAGTATCAGTTACTGGTATGATACTTGGTTCAACACCAGAATGGCAAAGTGGTAGTTATAATATGAGCGCAACGGGTACAAGACTTGATTTTCGACTTCATTCCACATTGGAATTTGTTGAATTGGTAGTTTATGATTATTAAATAAACTTAGTTACCTAAAATTAGAAATTAATCGAACTTTTATCATTTATTAATTGCTAACAGATTTAATTACATTATCAGAAAAGTAATGCCATTCAATCAGAAATTAGTAATATCATTTCTTAATTTAGGAAAATGTTCTAAAAAAGAAATTGAAATCGATTTAAAAATAAAAAGTTCAAAAAGTTGTAACTATAAATAAAATAAAAATTTGCAAAATTTATGACTAGTATTTGGTCATCATTTATTTATCAAAAATGTTGTACATCAAAAATTTGAGTATTTTTTTTTTTTAACTTTGCTAATTAATGGATGATAAAAGTGAAAGAGGAAGAAAGAGGACGAAAGATATGAAGTATAATTATGAGATTAAATGTTTAATTGAAATTTTAATTTTGAATACAATTTGAAATTTATTTTCAGGCTTGTATAATATGGTTTACATTTGAATATTTCGCACGGTTTACTGTTTGTACACAGAAAAAAAAATTTGTATTAGAACCATTGAATATCATTGATAGCTTAACAATAATACCGTTTTATGTGGAAATTTTACTTTCAGCTTGCGGTAATACATTCTCTTTTAATATTTCAATTATTTAATCATAAATTTAAAACTTTTAATTGCAAAAAAAAATAAATAAAAGTAGTACTTAGGATTATAAATTCCAAACATTTCTACTCACTCTTAACTATCATTTCTAATTATCAGAATTATCAGAATCGATTAATTTTCATGACCTAGTTGTGATCACATTCTGGCTACGATATGCATATAACTATTCAAAAAAAATTTTTAAATATTATTAATTATATCATTTTAAAATTATTTTTCTTATTAAATAGAATAAATGCATTAAATTAAATGATTTATCAGATGAAATGATCTGAAAATAAACTATTTCTTTTTGATATTAACAAAATTTTAAAAAATATATTTGCTGACATAAGGTATTATAAATGAAAGATCAATATATGACTAATAGTGACGCAATGATAATTAATTAATTTTATTTATACTCTATTACTTGCATTATGTAATCAGTAGCTAATCTTATGACAATAGCATTAATTAATAACAGTGCTAATAACTGTGATAATTATAATTATCATATCAGAAAGAATCATTTTTCACTCACAACAACATATCGGTACCTATTTTAAAAGTAATAATTGTAATTATGTTAATAACTATAGATAATTTCAATAATTCTATTGCTAAAAAATAATTGCGCAAAAAGCACACTTAGATATTAAATGATTGTGTTATAATGCATAAGTATAGCAATATTGATTGAAACTGATTGAAATTAGAGTTTAGGAATAAACTTTTCAAATATTTTTTATTAAGCATTTATTTGTATTCAACGAAAAGAGAAAGAAAAAAATCAGAACTCCTTGTTTTTGAATATTTTTTCATGTAAAAACTGCAAGAAATACTAAAATTCAGTCTCACTTTTTTTTTTTTAAAAAATTAAATGAAATTATCACTTCAATTTCATTTAGGTTTTGGAATAAATACATTTGGTGATTTTCGTGGCTTAGCAATGGTAATGCGTGTGGTACGAGTAATGCGTGTAGCACGAATATTTAAGCTTGCACGTTATTCCAGTGGCCTGAAATCATTTGGTATTACTGTTAAGACTAGGTAAGTAAATGAATTCTAATTTATAGTGAGAAATTTATCTTATCATTCTTATCATTTAATAATATTTTGTAAAAATTACAAAATATTTCAACTTATAAATTCCTTTTATTTTGCTATTTTTAGCTGTTTTTTTTCTTTTCTTTTTTTTTTTTTTTAATTTAAATTCAATGAAAAATTTTGCAGTCTTCCGGAATTATCAATGCTTACACTATTTTTGTTGACAACAGTAATTTTCTTTTCAACTCTAATGTATTTTGCTGAACGTGATGAACCAAATACAAAATTTAAATCAATTCCGCATGCTGGCTGGTGGTATGTTACATTATTTATACTTTCTTATTTTATTTACTTATATATATTTTTTTAAATTCATAAATTAATCAGAATTATTTGAAATAATTTATTAAAGTATAATTAAAGGCAAAAAATCAAATGTTGTAAAGGTCAATATAACTTTTGAAAAAGGTCAATAAGATCAATAATCCATTAAAAGCAGAATTGTTTAATCCAATCTGATAATTTAATTTTTACATATCAAAAAATTCCAAATAATTCTCTTACTTATAGATCAATATTATAATGATATAAAACATTTCATAAGCGAAAATATCACAAATATTTTGTTGAAATGATTTTTAATCTTTTGAATTCTTATTTTAGGTGTATCGTTACGATGACAACCGTTGGTTACGGTGATTATTATCCGGAAACATTATGTAAATTTCATTTATTGTAAAAAACTTTTATATCAAATGCAAAAATATTCTCTCTTATACTATCATTTTTCTTTTTTTTCACTGAAAAAAATCAAAATTTCATATCAATTTCTTTTCTTTTCTTTTTTTTTTTTTTGATAAAAAATTTTGAAAATTTAGATTTGTCCTTTTCTTTTCTATTATTATTTTTTTTTCAGTCGGTAAATTGATCGCTAGTTGTGCCAGTATATCCGGTGTATTGGTATTAGCCTTTCCAATAACTATGATTGTTGAAAATTTCTCTCGTAATTATGATAGTGAAAGGAAAGACTTTAAACGAATACAGCAAAAACGACGAATGGCTAAGACTTATAATTAAATAAAATTTTTTTAGCTTAAATATGATCTAATTAATTTGATTAAAAATTTTTTTAATTACAATATATTATGGGCTATGACAGAAGTTTTAAATATAATATGTATTACTGAAGATGAAATGATTCATTAATTCAATTATTTTAAATTTTGATTGTTTCAAATTTAATGATAAAAGATATGAGACATAAGCAATGAAATAGTAATATGATATTAAATCATGCTAACTATTTGTTTAGGAAAATAAAATTTTAGACAATTTTATAATTACGATTAGAACAATTTCATATTATTCAATAAAATTTGTAAAAACTTTAAATATTAAATGTTGTAAATTTTTCAAAAATTTTTCGTTTTTTTTTTTTTTATTTTTTTGGTATCATATTACTGGTAATATTTGAAATTTAATTTTATTCCAATTTGCTGTTCATTTGATACACACACACTGCTATGCTATTTGAGGTTATCTTAATTCATCGGTGAATTTATTAGTTTCTCATTTATTAATGAGAAAGAATTTGTTTAATTAATTTGTATTATTTACAAAACACTCTTATCATTCATTCACGAAATATTTCATTGATGATATCATTGATTACTGATAATAGATTTTACAGGGTATGCATGATGAGGTAGAGGCAAATTATTTGTGTGCTTATATTTATTTGCATGGATATGATTAAGTTATGAGTTAGAGCTAATCAAAATTGTTACCTCAACTAAATGATCCATGTAAAATGCATACAGGTAAATGTCTTCACACATTCTATTAATTAAATAATTAATTAATTAATTGGTCATGCTCAATGATTTTATTAAATTAAATATATGTGAAGACATTTACAATCGCTACCTTGTCTTTTTATGTAAATAAAAAAAAAAAATGTATCCATTTAATTTATTATTTGTTGAAATTTCAATTTAATATATATTATTTGATAATATAATAAGAGATGATTTTAAAGCTTTATCGAATTTGATTTTTCTTTTTCTTCTTTAATTTATTATCACATATTGCTAATTTAACAGTTTAGAAATTTAAATTATAGTAATAATTTCTAGTTATCAGATAATTTTTACCATTCATAGCAGCAAAGAAATGATACAATTAGCTTTGTGCCTGTTAATGAATGTTAAATATATAATTTTATTAAATATATGTATATCATTTTTATATAATTCTTCATTAAATGGATTAAACAACTCATTTGTTAAATATGAAATACAAATTTAATAAACATCGATGATAATAAATAAGTGAAATAACATTAAAATTTACAATTGCAGCATGGAACAATACTGCAAATAATAATAAACATATGATCAATAATATATATTTCTAATAATATTTAAATTTTTCTTGAGTTTTATTGGAAAAATGATAGTATCAAAGAATGTTACATCATTATCATTATCATTATCATTATCATATGTAGTCAACTTGAATTTGTTTTCATCATTAAATACTCGATGCAATCTTTGTGATGCATAAAAGAGTTGTTAAAGTTTGCTGTATGATGATACCTGCTGTAAAATAACCTGCTAGAATTAAATTATATTCCAAATGATTCCATACTGCTGTCGTACAGGTAAGCTGAAATTTTATGAAATACATAATTAGTAAAATTGTTGTCATTTTTATTAAAATAATTTATTATTTTTAAAATATTTCTCATCTATTTGCAACAAATTTTGTTTGCATAACTTACTTAAAAAAAAAAAAATAGAAATTACAACTAGAACTTTTTTTTTTTGCTATTATAATTAAAAATTTATCAGTATCATTTTTTTAGAATACGCAACTCTTTTATCATGATAAGATAACGCCACTTTGCTATCGAATTAGTACTAAGGAAAACTGATAATAGCTGATTAGAACTAATCACTACTTAACAATTTGAGACAACATTTTATCTTAAATTGCCTAATTTTAAGCAAACCTTTTATAACAAATATCTTTGTTAATGTGAAAATTAAATGATAAGAATTTATTTTATTACTATTTTTAACTCATTTCATTTAATACTTACTTTTAACTCTAATTTTATATCTATTATTGCCTGTAAGATAAACACATATCATTTTTAAATCATTCATCTAACAATCGATCTGATTAATTTACCTGGTTGACAATCACACATCTTGATAAGCTATCATCTCTTGCACTACAACATTTATACTGAAAATTAAATTATCTTTTTCTTTTTGAAATATTTTAATCAGCTAGAATAATTTTACAATATTCTAATAATAATAATAATAACAATAATAATAATAATAATAATAATAATAATAATAATAATAATAATAATTTCTTTTCAAATTGTGAAAATTTTCCTATACAAATTTAAATTTTACAAAGAATTGCTATCATTTTATTATTCTCTCTACTACTACTACTTTATTCCTAATTTATCACAAATGTCAAACCCTTGATGTGATCGTCTTCATATCATCCAATGAACCATTCAGTTCATCTGCTAAATTAACATATCGAGTTACTGTTTCTTCAATCTGTATAATATTTATTGTAAAATTTAATTCAATCTCAAAATCATCATTTTTCTTTAATCTCTATATTATTTACAAAATGTTAAAAACCATAAATTATTTTCGATTTTTTTAGCAATAAAATAATTTTTTTTTTCTTTTTAAAATTCTTTCTCTTCGATCGAATTCTTTTTTCTTTTTTTTTAAATTAGTGCCACAACAAAATGAATAATTCTAGCTAATTTATTTGCAAATTTTCCATTAATTCTAAACATTTCGTTCAATTTATTCAATCAAATTAAAATTTTCAAATGCTTAAAAAAAAAAAAGAAAAGAAAAGCTGATAAAAAACTGATTAGACATACTGTTGGTTTGTAAAGAAAGATGAAAAGAGCAATTGCTAATTCAATAGCTATTAGCATCACTGATGTTACCAAGTTTAGAATAAGTGTCGTACGATTTGCAAACATTGCACCACAAACACCAACAAAGCCAATTACAGAAGCTGCAATCCCACAACCACAAATTACCCAAAATGATATCGTCAACTGCAATTAATTGTTAAATTACCCGAAATGATATTGCAGTTGATTATTAAATTACTCAAAATGATATCATCAAATGTAATTAATTATTAAATTACTCGACATGATATCATCAGCTGTAATCGATTATTAAATTACTCAAAATGATATCGTCAACTGCAATTAATTATTTAATTGTATTCTCAGTTACTTTTAAAAATAATAGTAATTAATAGATAAAGGAATATAATATCAAATAATATCACTTTTTTGCATAAATAATCAGTTGTATCAGTAATATTCACCAGCCTACAGTTTAATGAAAAACAAATTCCAAATTGTATAATTTAGTAAATTTTTTTTTTTCAATATTAATTCGAAGCTTTCTAAATAATGCAAATTTTTTTTTTTTTTTGAAGCAAAAATTTAGCAAAGAAATTAGATATTGAAAAGAAAATAAAGTAAGTTTATGTTTTACATCTTACTAGTAGTCTAAATTTTAATAATAATCACCATTTTTAGTTTATCATCAAGCATAATTCAACTTATTTAAATTTGCTAAACTTACACCAAGTCGAATTTGTTCTTTCACTTCATTCATTTCTTCATTTTCATTATTAATTCGAAGAATATTCTTTCGTATCATTTCCTCAAATGTTGGATCTAATCGAAGCCATAACGTTAGTCCAATTACAGTAAGACCAATAGCCTAGAAAAACGAACAATTCATTATAATTTTTATTAAGTTTAATTATATATTTATTATAAATTATTTCAAAAGAATTTTTAAAATGAAAAAAAAAAAAGAAATTTAAAAACTTACTAAATATAAAAATGTTACTATGGTGAGAATGCCATTGATAAAAGTTTGACATACGCCTCCTCCACCCATAATTATTGCAAATTCTTGAAATCGATTTAAAAATTTTAGCAAATGATCCGGTTGAGTTGATATCTCTACGGAGCAATTTTTTTTTTCAAATTAAAAATTAATGCTTAGAATTTATCAGTTCTTATTGATAATGCATAATATGCAGAGATTTATCAACAAATCGATATTGATTGACAATTTATCGATTGATAGCTCTATTAGAATTTCAGAAGGTGAGAAATTCATTTCTCGTTTTTATAATAATATAAACCTGAAAAATTATTGAATTGATTTAAAATTTTTCATAAAAGATTTGATTGAAATTACTCGATTTATCGATGAATCTAATAAAATTGAAAATTATATTTTTTAGTGAAAATGGAATAAAAATGAAAGAAGTGAAATTAAGAGAAATAAATAATCAAAAAATGTTACGTTAATATTGCAGGTCATTTTTCAATAACTGTCATCTTAGAAAGGAATATGATTAAAATTTGAATACAGGGAATTATTTTACTAATCCATTCCAATTATCTGTATTTGGCTTTAGTAATTAAAAATTTAATCATATTAGGCGTATATCAGTGTTATTTATCCTCGATTTCAACCTTAATTCTTAGTTTAATCATATTCCATCTTCTCAATTGATAGATACATTTCTTAATATATTCGATGAAACTGATTTGGTCATATAAATGGTATAAAATTTATGTGATCGTTTTATTAATCACCAAAATCATCTTAGCAGTTGTTATCAAACATAAAATTGAGTAAAAACATGTATATTTAAAATCATTTGTCTTCTTTTTCTTTTTTTTTGTTTTGTTTTGTTTTTTCTATTTAATGTCTTTTATTATAAAATTGAGATCAAAATGTGACTTTGTCAGATAACAATTTTCAATCAATTATACAATCCCATCTCTCTCTCTCTCTCTCTCTCTCTGTTATTCTGAAAGCTTGAAATTATTTAGCATAATATAATCAAGTATGATAACAACATATTTCTATTTGAATTTAATATTACTTTTTCAGTAAGCAAATGACTTTTTCATCTGCTTGCGACAAATCTGAACTTTTCACAACGATTAATCTTCCTCAAATGTGAAAATATATAATATC